GGTTTAGGGTTTAGGGTTTAGGGTTTGGGGTTTGGGGTTTGGGGTTTAGGGTTGGGGGCTGGAGTGGAGGGGCGGGGTTGGGGTTTGGCGCCGAGCGGAGGGCAGGGCTGGTGTTTGAGCCCTTTTAATTGGGGCGCTCAGTTGCTAGGGTTTAGGGTTTAGGGTTTAGGGTTTGCGTTGCTGCAGCTGCGTCTGCCGGACTCTGTGATATCGCGTTTAAAACCCTGGAGCGCTCGAGATGTCCAGAGTTGGGGAGCTCGCGAAGACGAGGCCCTTTTGATTGGGGCCTACAAGTACGGCTTCGGGGCCTGGGCGGTGAGCCGAGGGTTTAGGGTTTAGGGTTTGAACACGCGGTCTTTGAGGCCCAGCCCCGTTGCTGCTGCTGCTGCTGGAGCAGCAGCAGCAACAGACCTGACAGGTGCAGCAGCAGCAAACACGGCAAGCGCCCTCTTGCTGAACGGCGCAGCGCAGCAGCAGCTGCAGCTGCAGCAGCAGCAGCTGCAGCAGCAGCTAGAGCAGCAGCAGCTGCAGCAGCAAAGTAGGGATCTAGGAGCAGCATCAGCAGCTGCTGCTGCTGATGATGATGACGATGAAGAAGACGATGAGCTCATAGGAGACCAGGATGGGCCTGTAAGTCTCTTGCTGCTGCTGCTGTTGCTGCTGCTGCTGCTGCTGCTGTTGCTGCTGCTTTTGCTGTTGCTGCAGTTGTTGCTGCTGGAGATGTGTTAGCGCCGCAGCAGCAGTAGCTCACAAACAGCAGCAGCAGCAGCAGCAGCAGCAGCAGCAGCACTTTTGTCTCTTTTCTCTTCAGCATTCTCCAAAGCGCCGTCGAAAGGAGGTGGACGTCTTCAGTAAGGCTGCTGCTGCTGCTGCTGCTTCTGCTGCTACTGCTGCTGCTGCTGCTGTTATACCTGCTTCAATTTTTTTTCTTTTCGATTTTTCTTTTCGTCTCCTTTTATATCCATTTATTTCATTCGAATTTGTTTTTTGCTTTTTTATCTTTTGCCCTTTTTGGTCTTTTTATTTCTTGTTTTTAATTTCATTTTAATTTCTTTTTGTTGTTTCCTCTTTAGCATCTTTTTGTCTCTTCTTGTTTTTGATTTCATTTCTTCTTTTTGGTGTTTTGTCTCCTCTGTTCTTTTTCTTTTTCTTTTTCTTTTATTTCTTTTATTATTTATTTTTTTTCATTTTTTATTATTTTGTCTTGTATTCCGTTATTTCTCCAGTTCATTTATTATTTAGTTCTTTAGTTATTTAATTAATTTAATTTATTTAATTCTTTATTATTTAATTCTTTTGTAATTTATTTGTTTTATTCCTTTTATTTATTTCAACTTCTTTTAATTCTTTAAATGCCTTCCAACCATTTCAACTTCTTCACTTTCTCTTTTTTCGCTCAACTTCTTTCCTCTAACAATAAAAACAAACAGACAAATTAAGTGAACCAAATCAACTTAACTAATTAATCTAAGTTAATTAATTTAATCTATTTATTTATTTATTTATTTTTTATTTTTAGGCCTCGCAGCTTTGCCCGCAGAAAGGCTGCGGAAGGCAGTGCGGCGTTTGCTGCGGGGGGACAGAAGGGCTTTGAAGCAGTTGAAGAAGCTTTCGAAGGAAGCAGCAAGCAGCAGCAGCAGCAGCAGCAGCAGCGGCAGCAGCAGCAGCAGCAGCGGAGACCCCACAGTCCACAGGGCTGCTGCTGCGGCTTACGTCGCCTCCATTGCAGCTGTACGTACACCGCAGCCCGCTGCAGCAGAAAGGGAAAATTCAAATTTTTATTTTATTATTATTTTTATTATTTTTATTTTTTGTTTATATTTATGTTTTATTTTATTTTTAAACGAGGATAATGATTATAGAATGAGGAAAGCTGGAGAAAGAACCAGCGGAATATGTGCTGCTTTTGCTGCTGATGCTGATGCTGATGCTTCTGCTTCTGCTGCTGCTGCTGCTGCTGCTGCAAGTCTTTCCTGGAAGTAGCTGCATGATGGGAATTAGTTGAATTATGAGTTCTTTGATTTAATAAATGATTTATCTCTTTGTTTTTTTGGTTTATTCTTTTATTACTTTTATTTTTCAATAAATGATTTACTTTATTTTTTATTTTAATTTTATCTTTTCAGACTCTCCGAAATTCCCTTTATCCTCTAGGCGAAAACTCCCCACAGTATAAAGTGGTCGAAGCAGCAGCTTGGGCATATGTGGCTTCGTACGTCTTGCTGCGGCTGCGGCTGCTGCTGCTGCTGTTGCTGCTGCTGCTGCTGTGGTATTTCTGTTTATGCTGCCGTGGTACTGCTGTTGCTGCTTCTTTTGCTGCTCCTGTTCCTGCTGGTATTATTGCTGCTGCTAGGGATACTAGTAGTATCGTTGCTGCTGCCGCTGCTGCTGGCTGTTAATGCTGTTGCTGCTGCTACTGCTACTTCTTGACTTGCAGCACCTTGCTATTGATTTGTTTCTTTTTGCTGCAGCATCGCGGGCCTTCCTGCGGAGGACCTGGAACAAATGGGACGTATGGTCCTGCAGCAGCAGCAGCAGCAGCAACTGCAGCAACTGCAGCAGCAGCAGTGTCTTCAAGGTGTGCAGCCCGCAGCAGCAGCTTCAGCAGCAGCAGAAGGAACCGCATCTTCCTCAGCAATTCCTGAGGGGACTTCTTCTTCTTCTGGAATTCCTGACGAGTGCCAGCTGCTGCAGCAGCAGCAGCTGCTGCTGCAGCAGCAGATTGAGCAGCAGCAGCAGCTGCTCGACCAGCAGCAACTGCTGCACCAGCAGCTACAACAGCAACAGCAGCAGTTGCTGCAGCAGCAGCAGCAAGATGCTGGCAGCAACACCGAAATACCGCTGGGGCTTGAGCATGAAGCAACAGCGGTTGCTGCACCTGAAGCAGCAGCAGGAGCAGCAGCAGGAGCAGCAGCAGCAGTGGCTTCTGCTGCTGCACCGCCGCAGACGAAGTGTGCAAGCGGGTACTCTCCCTCTGGAGTTCCACGAGATGCAGCAGCAGCAGCAGCAGCAGGTGCTGCTGCTGCTGCTGCTGCTGCTACTCCTCACCAACAAGAAGCAGGTGCGATGCAGCTGACAGCAGCAGCTGGCTCGTTGCTGCTGAGCAGCTGAAAACTGCAGCAGAGGCGGCGGCAGCAGCAGCAGCAGCAGCAGCGGCGGAGCGAACCTGCACCAGAGCGCAGCAGGAAAGGCCTGTACTGCTGCTGCTGCTGCTGCTGCTGCTGCTGCTCTTTTGCGCTGACGCACTGAGTCCAAATTCAATGGTTGTTTTACAGGGCTGCGAAACAGATTGGCGAGCAGCTGCAGCAGCAGCAGTAGCAACAGCAGCAGCAACAGCAGCAGAACCGGCGATGGCGGCTGGCTGAGTTTCGGCTCGCCGTCTTTCAGCAGCTTTCAACCCTTTCAGTCGTGGGGACGAAGCAACCTGCAGCAGCAGCAGCAACAGCAGCAGCAACAGCAGCAGCAGAAGCAGCAGGTGCCGCCCCCTGATTGAGCAGTTTGTAGCTTTGCGTGGAGGAGCATCGCTTGCAGTTGCTGTTGCTGTTTAAGCAGCAGCGGCAGCAACAGCAGCAACAGCAGTAGCTAAGGATGGCTGCCACTGAGGCAGCGACGCCACTTGCTGCTGCTGCTGCAGCGGCTGCAACGGCAGCAACTGCAGCTGCAGCAGCAACAGCGTTGGAACCAGAGCCCGTGGGGCCCATTGTAGATTTCAAGGCTCCTGCTGCTGTTGCTGCTGCTGCTGTACGGCAGCAGCAGCAAGTTGTCCTATAAGCTGCTCCTCCAGCAGCTGCTGCAGCAGCAGAAGCTACTGCAGCAGCAACTGCTGCAGCAGCAGCAACAGCAGCAGCTTTTCCTGCTGCTATTGCTGCACTGGTCTAAGGGATTATAAAGACAGCGGATCGCCGCTGAGCGCCAAGAGAACATCTTGTAAATTGATATCATAGGAGATGCTGCTGCTGCTCTTGCTGCTGCTGCTCTTGCTGCTGCTGCTCTTGCTGCTGCTGCCGCTGCTGCTCTTGCTGCTGCTGGTGTTCCTGTTGCTCTTGCTGCTGCTGCTGCGGTGTGCTGCTGGGGTGGGAGGAGTTCATATGGAAAGCAAATCGCACAATAGACTCCTGTGACGGTAGCTATCTAGCTAGCTAGCTAGCTGTCTAGCTAGCTAGCTATCAGCTAGCTAGCTAGCTGTCTAGCTAGCTAGCTATCAGCTAGCTAGCTAGCTGGCTGAAGTGCTGCTGCTGAAGCAGCATTTTTTAAGAGTCGTTGCTGCAGCAGCACTAGAAGCCGATGCAGGTAGCAGCACGGGCTACGCTGTAGCCACACCTAGCTACAGGAGCGGCTAGCTAGCCAGCTAGCTAGCTAGCTAGCCAGCCAGCTAGCTAGCTAGCTAGCTAGCCAGCTAGCTAGCCAAGTGGCGAGCTAGCTGCGCGGCTTCTTGCAGCTAGCTAGCTGGACTTGGCAGCGGCATCTGAACGGAAGTGTAGACAAGTGCAGGGGAGCGTCAGCTAGCTAGCTAGCTAGCTAGCTTTCTAGCTATCTCTCTACCTGGCTGGCTAGCTGGCCGGGTAGCTAGCTAGCTACCTAGCTGCTGCAAAACATGAGGGGTGGGCCACGACAGCGATTAAGGTGACCTGGGGGATCACTGCTGCAGCTAGCTGCGTAGCTAGCTGCAGCTGTTTAGCTAGCTAGCTAGGGCTACTTGGCAAGCTAGCAACGACTTTCTAGCTAGCCAGGGCTATTTAGCTAGCTAGCAAGAGCTGTAAGAGCTGTGTAGCTAGCCAGGGCTATTTGGCCAGCTAGCCACAGCTGTTTAGCTAGCTAGAGCTATTTGGCCAGCTAGCCATAGCTGTTTAGCTAGCTAGCTATTCGGCTAGCTAGCTGCAGCAAAAAGCTCCGACGAGTCCTTTAAGGCGAGTCCAGAAAAGATAAAAGGAGATAGCAGGAAATCTGAAAATTGTCTCCAGAGACAGCTAGCCCCACCTCCCCAATAGGGGCCCCCTGGCTAGCTGCTAGCTGGCTAGCTAGGAGGCCCCGAGCTAGCTGTTCCTGCTCAAGTCTCTGTTGGCTAGCTCCCCGCAGCTAGCTGCGTAGCTAGCTGGGGGCTCGTTGCTGCAGCGCAGCCGCTGCCTGCTGGCTTGCTGCTTAGCTAGCTAGCTAGCTGTCTAGCCGCTTGGCTTCTAGCTAGCTAGCCAGGCGTTGGTGCGGCCAGGTAGCTAGCTGTGCAGCTAGCCAGCTAGCCGTGCAGCAGCTAGCCAGCTGCGTGAGTACGGCACCAGGTACTAGCCGGCTAACTGGCTAGCTGTGTAGCCAGCCAGCTAGCTCTCCAGCTAGCTAGCTGCGTAGCTAGCCAGTTGTGGGGCTAGCTACCAAGCCGTGTGGCTAGCCAGCTAGTAGCTAGCTAGCTCACCCGCTGCGCAGCTTCTTAGCTAGCTACCTGCGTGGCTTACTAGCCAGCTAGCTAGCTAGCTAAGTAGCTAGCTAGCTAAGCAGCTAGCTAGCTAGCTGGGCTTGTCTATCCCAGTCTGACAGTGCGTCGAGAGGAAAGGGCCTTCATGAGCTCCTTCTCCTGCTTCCGCTTTTGCTTCTCTCTTGAAGACTTCCCGTCTGAGTGCTTCCTGTTGCTGCTGCTGCCGCTGCTGCTGCTGCTGCTGCTGGGCTTGTGCTTCTCGCTGTCCTTGTGCTTCTCACTGTCCTTTTTCTTCTTTTCTTTTTCTCTTTCCCTGCTGCTGTCTCTTTCATGCTTCTTGTGTTTCTTCTTTTCTTTTTTGTTCTTTTTAACTGCCTCCTTTTCTGTCTCCTTTTCCTCCCCAGGTTCTGTTGCTGCTGCTGCTGCTGCAGCAGCAGGAGTCCCAGGCAGATTCGAGGCCATCTTGGCTAGCTGTTGCTGCAGCAAAACATTGACAAATAAATAAATAAATAAATAAATAAATAAATAAATAAATAAATAAATAATTTAATTATTGATTTATTGTAAAGCAGCAGCAAACAAAAGATACATGGAAAAGTCTGAAGAGCAACAAGAGCAGCAAATGCAAAACGCGCAGCAGCCCAAAACTAAAATAGCAACAGAAGCAGCAGCAGCAGCAGCAACAGCAGCAGCAGCAACAGCAGCCGCAGGAGCAAAAGGAACTGATGCAGCAGCGGATGCAGCAGATGCAGCAGCATCAGAAGCAGAAGCAGAAACAGCAACAGCAGCAGAAGCAGAAACATCAGAAGCAAAAACACCAGCAGCAGAAGCAGCAGCAGGAGCTTGAGCAGCAGCGGCAGCAGAAGCAGCAGCAGCAGCAGCGGCAGCAACAGCAGCAGCGATTCCTTACGACTTCTTCCTGGACTTGTGGGGTTTGCTGCTCTACAGAGACATCGACCCATCCTTGGTCAGCGTCTAGCTGCTGCTGCAGCAGCTGCTGCTGCTGCTGCTGCTCTTCTTCGTTCGCTGGCTCATCGTTTCCCCCCAAAGCAGCCAATTGTGCTTCCAGTTTCTTTTTCTGAAGAAAAACAGAAACAAATTAATTAATTAACTCCAATCATAAACCAATTTATCAATTTGTTCTTTCTTTTATTTGCAAAGCTGGCTGCAATCTGCAGCTAGTTGTGGCTAGCTGCAGCTAGCTGC